TCAGTCCTCCTCCTCCTCCTCCTCCTTCTCCTCTTCCTCCCCCTCCTCTTCCGCGTCCTCCTCCTGGTCGTTGGCGTTTTCCTCGTCGGCGTCGTCCTCGTTCTCCTCGTCGTCGCTACAGCCGCAGTTTCCGCCTTCGTCTTCGTTGTCCGTCCTCGCCGCAAAAAGCCGCCGCCGCCGTCGTCGTCACTGCCTCCGCCGCCGCCGTCGCCGTCCTCGGAGTCAACGCCGTTGCCGCAGCCGTCCTCTGGGGAGAAGGGTGGAGGGGGGGCCAGTGGCGCAGGAGGAGCATGGGAAGGGGAGTGGGGCATGGGAGGGGAGGGGGAGAGGGCGTGGGAGAAGGCGGAAGAGGGGGGAGATGGGGCGGAGGACTAGCTATGCGTGCGCTCGCGGCACGTCCGGCACCCCACCCCGCCCACCCCAACCACTTCGGTGCGTTGCACCACCGTCTATCAACCAAGTGGCGTGTCTTTGAGCACCTTGATCCCCAAACGGCAATCGCAGAACTTATGCCATCGCTTTGCTGCATGAAGTTCTTCGCCGTGTAGCGCCCCGCGGAACGCCAAGGTTCAAACGAGCACGCTTGAAGCTTGTTTTGGGGAGGGCCAGGGAGGGTTGACGCGCACATGTCGCCGACGACCACCAGCAAACAGTGTTGTGTGCATTGCAGGTGCGTATGCGCTGCAGTTGTTTGCGCTGCTGGAGCTGGAGCTTCGGATTCCGCGTGCGAGCCGAGCATGGTTTGTGGAGGTCCAGGGCGGATTGGAGCGCACATGTCGGCGACCACCACCACACAACAGGTGTTTTGCCGCATTGCATGTTCTAGGCACTGCAGCTGTGCTCTGTTATGTTGGATGGTTTCGCCGCAGTGGCGCTGCAAGAGCTTGAGCTTAGGAGTAAATCGGGCATGTCCCTCTACAGGAGGAATATTCAAAGATAGTCAAAAAGTAATCTGGGTATTATTTCTCGACTGCGCTATTCATTTTTAACTATGACTATATACACATTACATAAATTGAACTATTATTATTATTACTATTACTATTATTATTATTATTACTATTCGTATTATTATTGTTATTATTATTATATATGTGTGTGTTGACTGTGGTTGATTTTGTGTTAATATCCGCCTGTAGGGGGACATGCCCGACCTAAGTTTAGGATTCCGCGTGCGAGCAGAGCGTGGTTTGCGGAGGTCCAGGGAGGGTTGGAGCGCACGTGTCGGCGATGACGATCAACAACCGTGTGTCGTATGCATTGCAGTTTGTTTCGCGTAGCAGCTGTTTGCATCGCAGCTCTTTGGGCTGCAGTGGCGCTGCCAGGGCTCGAGCTGCTGGAGCCGAGCTTAGGATTCCGCGTGCGAGCCGAGCGTGGTTTGCGGAAGTTCAGGGTGAGCTGCAGCGCAGATGTGGGCGACAATTGCCGAGACAACAGCTTGTGCATTGCAGTCTGTTGTGTTCTGCACTTGTTTGTGCAGTGCAGCCGTTGCTGGCACTGCAGTTTGGGAGGTCCAGGGAGGTGCGCAGCGCGCAGCGCCAACCACGATCGCAGCAAACTCGTTTGTTTTACGCTGCAGCTTTGTGTTGCGCTGTAGCGCTTGCTCCGCATTGACATGTTCTTGTGCTGCGCTGCAGCGTTTGGGCTTCCAGGGGGGGTGCGGAGCGCGCAGCCCCAGCCACGACCACAGCGAAACAGTGCTTGTTGCACTGCAGTTCTGGGGGTCCTGGGAGGCGCCAAGCGCCCAGCGCCAACCACGACCACAGCGACATAGTTGTTGGTGCATTGCCGGTTTTCCTGGCAAGGGCTCGGGCCCACGGTTCTCTTATGGAGGTTTATCCCCGGCCTCGACTTGAAGAAGGCCAGCGAAGTTATGTTGCGATAATTAACGACGTCGCGCCGGCGAAGTGATGCTGTGATAAATGACGACGTCGCGTGGCGCCGGCGAATTCAGATTTTGAGGACTTCTCAAGCGAAACGCCTGTTTTATGCAGGTCTGTCGAGGATGTCTCAGGCGAACCGCTGGTTCTGCAGAGGTGGGGGATGTCTCGAGAGGGGGCCGGAATTCAGGGGATGTCTCAGGCGAAATGCTTGTTTCCACATGCCCAGGTCGCCCAGAGGGGGTATCTAACATGGTTGTCTTGATTATTCCGATGGAGCCACCTGATTTCACGCGTCCAGGCCGCCCGAGGATATCTAAGATGTTTGACATTTGCCCCTCGCTGGAACCACCTGTTTCTTCCGCTCTGGGGCGACAGAGACCCACGTGTTTTCGCTCTCTGTCCGCTCTGGGGCGAGAAGGACCCTTCGTGTTTTTCACGTGTCCCAGCCACCCGCCGGAAAAATTATCCTGGCGAAGGACCCAACCATATGCAGTTGTGAATATCGCAAGTGTGAGTATCTTCTTCGGTGGCGCTCCCTATGGGGCCACGAACCGCGTGAGGGGTGTGCCGAAATGTGGCGGGGTACACAACGCAAAGGAATACGATATATCTGATTACGAAAGAAAGAACGCGGGTGAGTCAGAGCGCGAGGGAATCTGAGTATGAATGGGTCTGCGCGCGAATGAATATATTTGCATGAATGCGATCATGGAAACGCCTAGTGTAAGTGTATATGAATGTGAATGGTTCGAGCATGCCTGTCCGAACACACGTGACACTGGGCGTGGCCGCCGCAGGCAGCTTCCGCGGGAACCCCGACGGCAGCGTCCGCACGTCGCGACGCCCATGTCGGCACGCCTCTTGCGAGGATCGCGCCCGCTTTCGGCTCTTCTTTTCCTTCCTCTTTGCCCGCGCACTCCAAAATCCAAGGCTGCGGGCGCAGCGCAGCGCGGAGTCCCCGCGACGCGCGCTGGTCGCCCCGGGCGGGGTCCCAGCGACGCGCGCGGGTCGTCCGCTGCGCGAAGCAGAGAGAGCTGACTAGCTAACTGGCTGGCTGATAGCGGGCAAGTCTCTGACCGCTGGGCAGAGCGACGACGGGCGAACGAGGCGCCGGGCCCCCCGCAGCACGGAGTTCCCGCGACGCGCGCTGGTCGCCCCGAGAGGGTCCCAGCGACGCGCGCGGGTCGTCCGCGGCGCGAGGCCAAACAATTAGTCGGGCAGTCGAGAGAAGGCGCGGCTCGGGGGAGACGCTCCTCAGGTCAGGCCTCGCGGATGAACTCGGTGAAGCCGAGCTCCCTGGCGAGGGCCGTCGCTTCCCTCCTGCACCGCTTCGTGCGCGCCGCAAACTGCTCCAGCTGCTTCCGCAAGCCCTGCGGCGGCCCTGCCAGGAAGAACTCGATGCGCGGCGCCCGCATGAGCAGGAGGTCCTCGTGGCGCGTGGCGCGCGAGAGCAGCACGTAGAGCTCCAGCCACCAGTCGTCGTCCTCCTTCTTGCCGTTCCCTACCTCGTGGCGGCCGCAATCCAGGATCACGCCTGGGCGACGTCGACCGAGGGAGCAGCGCGCCGGGCAGCCGACGGCCCAGGGCGAGAGTCCACAGGACCGAGAGATGGTCTGGCCGCAGACTGCTCGCGCCCGGAGGTCTGGCCGCCCCCGGAGCGCCGTTTCTCCGCCCCGTCGCCTTCGCGCATGGTGCGCCCCTGGCACGCCACCGTGGTGATGACCCTGCCGTGCGAGAAATGCGGGGGAGTGCCGAAATGGGTGGGGGTGACGCATGCGGGCGGCGGCACTGAGGCCTTCGGTGGAGCTCCCTATGGAGCCACGAAACGTGTGAGGGGTGTGCCGAAATGGGTGTGGGTGACGCATGCGGCCGCGGGCACTGGGGCCTTCGGTGGAGCTCCCTATGGAGCCACGAAACGTGTGAGGGGTGTGCCGAAATGGGTGTGGGTGACGCATGCGGCCGCGGGCACTGGGGCCTTCGGTGGAGCTCCCTATGGAGCCACGAAACGTGTGAGGGGTGTGCCGAAATGGGTGTGGGTGACGCATGCGGCCGCGGGCACTGGGGCCTTCGGTGGAGCTCCCTATGGAGCCACGAAACGTGTGAGGGGTGTGCCGAAATGGGTGTGGGTGACGCATGCGGCCGCGGGCACTGGGGCCTTCGGTGGAGCTCCCTATGGAGCCACGAAACGTGTGAGGGGTGTGCCGAAATGGGTGTGGGTGACGCATGCGGCCGCGGGCACTGGGGCCTTCGGTGGAGCTCCCTATGGAGCCACGAAACGTGTGAGGGGTGTGCCGAAATGGGTGTGGGTGACGCATGCGGCCGCGGGCACTGGGGCCTTCGGTGGAGCTCCCTATGGAGCCACGAAAGCGTGTGAGGGGTGTGCCGAAATGGGTGTGGGGACGCATGCGGCCGCGGGCACTGGGGCCTTCGGTGGAGCTCCCTATGGAGCCACGAACGTGTGAGGGGTGTGCCGAAATGGGTTGGGGTGACGCATGCGGCCGCGGGCACTGGGGCCTTCGGTGGAGCTCCCTATGGAGCCACGAAACGTGTGAGGGGTGTGCCGAAATGGGTGTGGGTGACGCATGCGGCCGCGGGCACTGGGGCCTTCGGTGGAGCTCCCTATGGAGCCACGAAACGTGTGAGGGGTGTGCCGAAATGGGTGTGGGTGACGCATGCGGCCGCGGGCACTGGGGCCTTCGGTGGAGCTCCCTATGGAGCCACGAAACGTGTGAGGGGTGTGCCGAAATGGGTGGGGTGACGTGCCGGGCCTTCGGTGGAATGGGTGTGGGTGACGCGTGCGGGCGCGGGCACTGGGGCCTTCCGTGGAGCTCCCTATGGAACACGAAACGTGCGGGCGCGGGCACTGGGGCCTTCGGTGGAGCTCCCTATGGAGCCACGAAACGTGTGAGGGGTGTGCCGAAATGGGTGGGGGGACGCATGCGGCGCGGCACTGGGG